TCCATCCATAGCCTATGGAGGATGACAGTGACAGTTTTTTTTAATCATCCCATTCTTGGAGATGTCATATACAGATTTCAAAAGCTATCAAATTGTTTTTTGTAAATTAATGTGTTAATTTTAAAGTGTCTTCTTACTTTTAAAAATGTCTCCGACTGATGTTGCCCTATGTACTTTACTTCTTGTGACGTTTACAACACTTGCTACGTAATACTGTGACCGTCCATCCTGGATTAAATTAATGGCTCTGGCAACATCAGTCGGAGACATATCCATTTTTTAAAGTAAGAAGACACCTTAAAATTTAAACATTAATTTGCAAAAAACAATTTGATAGCTTTTGAAAGCCGTGTATGACATGTCCAAGTATGGAATGATTCAACAAAACTGTCACTGTCATTCTCCATAGCCTATGGATGGACCATAGCAACTTTAGTTCTTTATACAGAAAAATATTGGAAATTGCAATGTTTTTCTTTAAAAATCCATATTTTCCACAAAAACAAATATATCGAGGTGAACCAAAAACAAAACTGTTAAGAATAGATACGACTTAATAAATAAAACTAAATTTAGAACAATATAAGGTTTTGCCACTCTACAGAGTGTCTTAAACTTATGGTAAAAAACATCTTTTTGTTTAAACCTGTATATTATAAATGTACGTCTATTTTTTAGTAATTTTTTAAAATGTGAGCGATTGTCCATTATTTTATCTACAATATTCATTAATAATCGTTTAAATCCGACATCAAATAAAAAAGTTATTCGCGATTGAAATTCATCGAAAATTTGTGTGGATTGATTATTTTGCCTGTAGTTTTTAATATTTTTTATTTTAAAATAACTTGATTTTTTTTGGTTGCCTACCAAATTTGGCCTTTGACAAAATTTAATAGGTTCTTCTGCATCATTTTCTATTTAAATTTGTTTAACTGTCCCATAAAAAATCCATTATAGTTAAGTCCGGATTTCGTGGAGGCCAAAAAATTGGGCAATTCCTCCCCCGCTCCAAATAACTGTGCTGAATGAAATTCTCATTAATAAACAAAAATATAAACGTTTCTTTAGATTTTCCTAAAGTGTGGTTAAAACGGAATACATTTTTTTCTGCTTAAAGATTTTTTGAAGGTATGATTCTTGTTTTTTAATTCAAAACGGTGCCAACTAAGAAATTCAAATTTCTGGATATTTTTTACGAAATTTATTACTTTCTCTGCGGTAGCGGTAACATTGAATTGAAAAAACTAAATGCCTTGCAATTTTAAATAAAATTTTGTACAAGTCCAAATGTGAGTAGAAAATTTACTATAAAGCTTAGAGAGATAAATTCAAAACAAAAAAATATAAATCCCATCAACATATCCAGTGGCTAATTGTTGGTGGATTGTTAATTACAGAAGCTTGTTATAGAATCCCAACAATAACATGACAAACCTTATATAAACATCAGGCCTGCTATTCTGCCATGTCCATGGCGTTGTAATTAATGATAAAACATGTCAATCAGCAATCGCTGATGATTAAGTACGTAATAACATATTCGAATTTAAATTAAACGGCAACACAGAACTTACAAAGAACGGTAAGCCAGAGTATAGATTACTAACCCTTCAGGGTGCTAAGCCGCAAATTTCATTAACATTTTTTTATTACTTTGTTAAAATTACAGTTACCTGTAATGTCAACAACGCCATATATAGTCCATTCCATTTAAGAATGGAGTAGATGTCGCAAAACGAGACCGGTTAACACAGGAAAACACGGTATATTTAAATATGTTATAACAAATATGGACAAATCATAGCAACCCTGGAAAAATAATTTACTATACTACTTAAGATTTTTAGACACAGAAAAAATTTATGTATTGTATTATTTTCAGAAAATAAGACGAAATTAACATTAAATTGATAAACATAACCTTAATTATTTAACTGCATTCCTTATTTAAATGTCAGTGGGATTTTTTATGTGGAGCATAGTACATATTTTTATGTTTGAACAAATTTTTATAATTTTATAATATAAAAATTCAGATATTAACAAAAAGGCTGAGTTTTATTAAAAATGTAAGAAAAATTAAATGGTAAATAAACGGAAAAAATCTATTTTTTATTTTAGTGTAAGCATACATCTATGGATTTAAAAAATTGCACTTTTTAATATTACGTATCTGGTATAGCAAACTTTTGGTTAAAAAGAACCAACTAGAATAGTGTCTACGAATCAAAATTCCGTATAAAGTTTGTTACTTTTTTCGCATATAACAATGGTCTATAACGGTTCGTTACAATACTTGTTAATATTTGTTAAGGAATGTTGTAATTTAATTGATGGAGTAAAATTAATAATATAATATTAATTCATCGATTTATATTTTAACTAATAATTAAATTGGGGTTAACGTATTATAACAGTTACTGATATTAAGAAAATAAATATTTACCTATTTTAAAATTTTTTAATTTTAATTTTTTTTACACAGCCATTTTTATTATTTTAACCTAAACATGTTTAATCTGCAGATTTCTCTATTTTGTTATAAATCATTTTTTTCTTCAAATATTTTACGTTTTTAAATATTACAAAAAATATACTTATAGAAAATAACAATTTTAATTTTTTAAGTAAAAAAAATATTTTTGGATTTAATTTTTGTTTTTTTTTAATATAACAGATATGTAATTATCTTATATTAAATATAACTTAAATAAATCTTGATATTTTAGTTTGACGATTATATATTGCTTTAGAATCTATAGTGGTATCACAACCTAAAAAACACCACTTGATATACAGGGTGTTTTACATTCGTGGTCCTTTGGAAGTTTCTGGGAAACAGAAAAAATATCGATTTGAAATTTAAAAGCGTTTATAATACATTTAAGTCTATTTTTTTTTTAATATTTTCAACAAAATGCCACTTCCGGTTTGATCGGAACTTTGTTATTTCGAATAGAACATCCCATATATTTTTACATTTTTAAATTTTTCATAAAATTTTGAGTAAAATTACTGTACCATGTCCTATACCTAAAGTGAATAGTATTTGAGTTATATAATATGTTTTATTTAAAAAAAACAAAGATGATGCCAAACCGGAAGCGGTATTTTGTTTTTAAATATTTTAGAAAAATAGGCTTAATTGAATAATAAACGCTTTAAAAATTTCCAATCGATATCTTTTGACGTTTCTCAGAAACTTTTAATGGAAAATAATTTTTAAATAAAAAAATTTAATGGTTGTCCATTTATTTACTGAATAAATTTTTCTTAAAAATATACAGTCTAGCTGTTATCGAAGCTGTTATTTTATGTGCCGAATACAATGGATAACATTTTATTGAATCGCATTTAAAAAAAAATAAATGATGTGACCTGATCATTTCCAAAATCTATAGGAATTTTTCATGGGAGGGAAAAAAATCAAATTTTGTTGTACTGTGTAATATTAGGGTCATTTTCAAGAAACACCCGCTTTCAGGAAAATGAAGATCAAATTTTTTTTTGCTTAAATTGACTTTTGGTTGGATTTTTATAAATGTTTAGAGTTTTGTTTACTTACATTTAAGACAGGCAGTGCACTTTTTAATTTTTTTTACGTTTTTTAACTCCGCTGTGTTACCAATTTGAAATCTAAAATTTAATTCAATAAAAAAAGTTGTTATAAAAATAATTTGAAATAAAATGTACTTAGTTCACAAACTTTTGATTAAAAGTTGTATGCTTTTTTAAATATTTATGTTAGTTAAGTTACTTTTTAAAAAAAGCCATCCGATTCTTTGTTAAAAAAAAATCCCTTTAATATTTTCTTTTAGTCACTGTATTAGTGAGTTAAACTCTAATTATAAACAGGTATTACAAGTGATTACAAGTGATAAAATCATTTTAAGGATTTTTTTTAACAAAAACTAAAAAAGTAACGAAATAGACATTGGTATCACAACGGACTGGGGTACACAAAGGACAATCAGATAACGTAAAAAAGAAACTATATAGGGTGGTACGATTTTAGAGTAATGCATAAACAAAATCCCTTGTAGTGGTGCTCACTTGCAGAATAACAACTTCTAAGATTTCTAAATTATAGACACCCTTTTTCTTTGACTAAGGTCTTTCGTCCCTTTTAGTACTTGTATTGTGGAATTTTCCCTTGGATGTAATCTATATCATGAGTTGTAATCACAAATAATTTTAAATTCCATTGCGTTACCATAAGGTACTGGACTCGGTAACGCAGTGGAAAAAGTTTTGTGAAACCATATTTAAAAAATAATAATAAGACATTACAGTTATTAATTACTCGCAATGAGCTTTAGTGCCCTAAAATAAACATAAACATGAAAAATAGTATTTTTTCTTAGCTTATTTTTATTATTTTTTTGAGTAACTTAGCGGACAAACAATTATTACATTCGCGTTACCCGCACCTGTTTCAACCGATAGCATCATTTGTTGATCATGTGAGTGCCAAAAAAGTTGCCATATATATGCTTTTTTAAATATTCTATCGGTAACGCGACGGACGTAACGCAACGGAAAAAATGTCTGGGACATGAGTCAAATTTAAAAAAAGTATATCAAAATTAATTAATTTATATATAAATTGTTTACTGTATTAACTAAGGATGTTATGGATTTCTATAAAGCAACACAAAGTTCTGGTTATTCAATATTTAAAAAAAAACATGTATGTAAGTTTTATAAAACGCTAATGGGACATGCGAAAATGTGTGTTTCACAAGTTTCAAAATTAAAAAAAAATATTCTGAAATAACTAAACAAACATTTTCTGAAAGAGTTTACTAAGGGCTTGTTAGGCTTTCACTTGGTTTTTAAATCAATAAGATCCGATAATTTTTAACAAAGTTATTGGACAAACTCGCACAGTTAATGAATTTAAATAATGGTAGGACAAATTCGCACAGTAGCATAAAAACAAAAAATGGTGGGACAAATTTTCAAAATTAAAATTGAATTGAAAAACATTTAGTGAGTTAGTACATATTTACATATAAGTGGTAGCACCTGGGAATCTGTAAGGCGACCTCGTCCAGGCTGTCGGAAGGCGTGAGGGGCGGCCTCTCGAAGAGGCGGCTGGGGGCCAAGGTCAGCGCCGCGTTCGTGTAGCGGTGGTGGTAGGAGCTGGTCCTGCGACGTCTTTGCTGCTGCTGGTGCTGCTGCTGCTGCTTCTTCTTCTTGTTCTCCTCGGCCCGGCGCAGGTTGTGCAGGCGAAAGAAGTACATAGACATTCTGGAGGAGATATCAACAGACGTTCGGTTTGGTGCGTTTTAGATATGCAGTTTTGTAACGTTTTTCCTGTTATTATAATTTTGGACGACATTTTGTTTTGCATCTCTGATTTTTTCGAAAATGATTGGCCAAATTGCTCTTTTTACCCTCTTTTTATATAAAAATACTTTGATATTTTTATGTTTCAAAAATATTTTTTATTGAATTTATATAAATCTAATAAACTTTTAACAACCCAAGTAGCACAATTAGTTATTAAAATATTATTATGTTCTCTTAATGGTTTGTTTTAATTACCTTACGCATCTGTTCTGTGATAAAACTACGAAGGTTCTTAAGGGCATCACTATGTTTTTTATAGCAAAATCAGGCAGTGCATGTTTTTAAAATGTAGTGCAAGATTTTAAGTGGCAGTTTCAAATTTTAAGTAGCAGTGTCAGATTTTAAGTCGCATTGCCAGATTTTAAGTCGCACTGCCAGATTTTAAGTCGCACTGCCAGATTTTAAGTCGCAGTGGTTTGAATTTTGATTTTCCGGCTGTTCCTTTCGGGTTTTCCTAATGTATTTTTTATTCAAATCACCTCTGTATTGAGGCAAACAAAACAAAACAAAAAATTATTTAAATCGGTTGAGCCATTTCCGAGTTTAATACACCGAAAAAAATAATGTAGTTGAGTTAACATTTGCCTAAATGTCATTTTTGAAAATGTTGTTTCAACAAAAAACCTATTGGATTAATCTATATTTTGGTGTTAAAGCAATAGTCAGAGTTTGTCAAAGTTTATTTGTTCATTTGACAGTTAAAATATTGATTTAACATAAACTAATTTTTTGAATTAAAATGTTTATCCTATTTTGATTTAATAGCTGGAATAGGTTGAATCGACCACTGAAATGTGTTTGGTGTTAAAGCAATAGTCAGAGTTTGTCAAAGTTTTTTTTTTTCATTTGACAGTTAAAATATTGATTTAACATAAACTAATTTTTTGATTTAAAATGTTTATCCTATTTTGATTTAATAGCTGGAATAGGTTGAATCGACCACTGAAATGTTTAGGATTACCTAAAAAAACTATTAAATTAACGTTTAGTTGCTCTTTAATCCAAAATATTAAATTTGTTCATTTAACAAATTGTAAATGTTACATTAAAATTTAAAATGTAAAATTTGCATTCATAAAATTGCCGAGAATGGCGCTTCGAACACCCGCGCCACGTCATTAGACGATGACGTGTTCTTACATCTCGCCTTAGTTGGCTTACGATTAGGGGTATATAAGATCAGGTAGCTGTTTGTTTTAGGTGTGTTCCACAGTGGAACTTTCACTACACTATATTGCCCGACACTGATAAGACCCTCAATACAGGGCGAAACAGCTGTCTGTCGGTATTTAAAGTAGGTGGAACACGCTCAAAACAAAAACTCTGGGCGAGGTGAAGGTTCAATTCTCTTTCTCTTTATATATAATAATATATTATTTCCATAATTTTGTTTTGGATACCAACCTTTAAAGAATTTTAAATTTTCAGAATGTTAATTTAACATTTTATTGGTGTTAAGTGAATATGCTAAAAAGGTTACCTGGACATTTCAAGAAATTCACCTTAACACCCTAAGAATGTTAAATTAACCAAATTAGCAGATTAGAACAAATATTCTCATTTTGTTCATTTGACTGTTATTTGTTGTTCAATTAAACAATACAATTTGACATTTTTAGATGGTTAAGTAAACGTGCAAAAACCATTGCTTGTATTTAAAGTGCATAAAGAGTTGAATTAATATTTTTGTTGTTGTTTCAACAGCTTATTTTTTTCAGTGTAGTTATTTAATAATAATAATATTAATAATAATAAACGTCTTTATTGAGAAAATAAATATATAATCTCAAATGGCGAAATTTGACTTATAACATTTATTGTTACAACTCATTCTTACATTTAACGGCTGTAAATATAAATTAGAAACAAAATAAATATGTATTTAATAAAACAAAACAAAAATAAGAAAAAATCATAAATGTACTCATTAATAAAATAATGAGTATTCTTAAATAGTATAATTTCAACATAACTTAAAAAAATAGTTAATTTCATTGCTGTTCATTTAATTTGAAGCGCAGCTACGAACGCCATCTATTCAAATTAATTTAAAGTTGTACAAATTTCGATTTTCCGGCTGTTCCTTTCGGTTTTTCCTAATGTATTTTTATTTAAATCACCCCTGTATTGAGGCAAACAAAAAAAATATTTAAATAGGTTGAGACATTTCCGAGTTTTTGCAACACACGGCGATTCATTTTTATATATAGAGAGACTTAAAATCTGGCAGTGCGACTTAAAATCTGGCAGTGCGACTTAAAATCTGGCACTGCATTTTAAAAACATGCACTGCGTGATTTTGCTAAAAAAAACATAGTGATGGCCCTTAAGAACCATCGTATAAAATGTAGAGATGCTTACCAAATAAATTAAATGTAAGGGGACTGTTTTAAGCTTCTTAGATAAATATTGATTTACAACTTTGGTAACTCTTCTATAGTAAGTTAAAAAAATACTAAATTTTTTTAAAAAAGTTTCTTTTAGGCTCCATTATCACACAAAACTCACAACCTATAGGTTTATATATAAAGCTGTTTTGAGACTAATTTTTCTATGCAGGTAACAATGAAAACTGCAAAACTATTACTTTATAACCAGTTTATTAATTAACGTGAATTTACCAGAGAGTTAAAATATATTTGGTAAAATATAACTTATTGGTTAAAAAAATATATATACAAATTAACCAAAGCTGTGGCAAATCTACCAAAAAGTAATATCAAAAGTTAAACTAATCTATAGGTCAATTTTGCTTATGAAATTTTCAAAAGTTTAAATCACATATTTAGTAATATTACCAATAGGTTTCTTTTATTAGTTAAATTATACTAAAAATAACCTTTGAATTTACCTTAAGGTTAAAGAAATCTGTTTGTAAATTAAAAGGGTTATTTTTTAGTTAATATTAACCTTAAAAAAATAATGGTTGAATACTTGGTTAAAGAAGTTTAAAAAACGTTATTTTACTTAGATTTTGGTTAATTTACCTAAAATGCTAGTTATTTAACCAGTTGTGCTACTTGGGAATGTACTTCGATAATGCCAAGGCCTGACACACGGACTTTTGGTTCTCCTCAGTGCTGGGTAGCCATATAGCACAAAGCTCAATCGAACAAAATACCCTTGTCGTTTTTATAGTAGCATCGCTACAGAAACAGATCTATTTTCTTGTCAAATCAAACTTTAAATTTGTTAAGAGAATAACAGTTTTAATACAAAAAAAAGATCAGTTTAAAAAAAATCATAGATACAAAAGCAAAATGAATTTTTATACTTTTAGGTAGTAAGTTTTAATATTTTATGAATTTATATAAAAATTACACATTTATGTTGTAGCTCTTCAAATAAAGAAATTCCCATATGTTATGTCATCCTGTATATTAAAATAACAAGAAAAACTAAAAATACATATAAATAAGACGAAAAATAAAATAAAATATAACAGGCAACAAAAAGTTATAAAATTAAATTAGTTTTTTTAATGTATATTTAATATACATTGTATAAGTGCAAAAGCTAAAGCATGAGCATGCAGTTAATATGCAAAGTGCTTACATTTTATTTTACCACTTACCTTTTATATTTATTTACAATACAAGCAAATTAAGTTACTTATGCCAATTAAATTTCAACACGTACTAGGCATTTCTAATATAATACTTACTTACATGCATAAAATACGTTTTGATATGCTGATTTTGTATGCTTTGAGTTGGTAAATAAAGTTTGATTGGTAAAGTTTAATAGTTAACCAAGTTTCGTATAATTTACGAACAAAGTCTTTATTAAAATATTTCACGGTATTTTAGAAAACTCTCTAAAAATTAATTAGTCAACAATGACTAGTTACTACAGTCATTAATGGCTGCTTTTTCACTTTTGCCATCGTAAACCATGGAATACCATGGTAACCCCAACATTTAGCAGTCAATTCTTAAAAATTGTCCCCTGCATCCGAAAATATTTGATACTACAATAAATAAATTATGAAAGGTAAAAAAGTTAAAAAAAAACCCAAAATAATTTGAACTTTGGCCATAAATTACTTTAGAAGCATCAAAGTTATCAAAAAATCATAGAAAACCTTTTTTGTAGACCGTTCATTTTTTTACAAAAATATCAAAAATCAGGAACTTTACAATACCACCTATCTTTCGTTAGTTACAAAAATCAAAAGAAACAAAAATAATTTTTCCTGTTATTCTTATGGAAAATCGAAATGTGCCATGCCTAGCATCTTAATTTTGAAATTGTGAAGTGCTTGTTTCTTCACAGGCTCATTTTATATCTGTACGAAACTTTTGAGCGTGGTTCCGAGAAAAAAACAAAAAAAATAGTTTTTCTTATCACCCTAGTGTCCATTTTTCTAAAATATTTCGAACAAAATTACACTGTGACATAAACTTTGTTATTTCTAATAAAACACCCCATATATTTTAACATTTATAAATTCTACATACCTAAAGTGAATAGTTTTCGAGTTATTAATTTTGTTAGTTAAAATTTGACAAATGCGCGTCATTCATAAATAGCTCATAACATTTTTGTTATTAGGTTTGCTGATATGCCGGTGGATATGTCAATTGTTTAACATTTTACCTGAGAAAACCCAGGGCAAATTAGGCTAACTTGGAAAGTATAACTTTTTCGAAAATTTTAAATAATATTTTGTATCAAGAATCCTGTGACGGGTGAGTGGAATGTATCTATGATTGCCACATAATCATTGTTAAAAATTTAACTGCGTCAATTTTTTTGTAAACAAAATTACTGATAAAAATATCAGTCAGTGACTTAAAAAAACATAGACAAGCCAAACATTTTTAAAAATTAAAAGTGATACAACCAGTATTACTATATACTATACTATATATATTACTATACTATATACTATACT